CCATCAGATCCTCCTCAGAGAAGTTGTACTTCATATGGTCGTGATGAGGAGCCCTCTGACGGAAATACATGTGCTGCACCTTAAAGGAGTTGATTTTGTCGAGGCGGATGTCGTCGTGGTAGAGACCAACCTTGCCGTAGCCGTGGATTTGGTTGGAAAGTTTCATGAGCGGGCTCATCCTTTCCATCAGGTGATAAGTTTCATGGAAATTCAAGTCAGGAGTATCGGCCAGGCCTTCTTTCTCCTTTTCACCCGCGTACTGCTCAAAAGCTCGCTCATTCTTTTCCTCCGCATCGGCTGTGGCCTTGGCCTCTGCCTCGTAAGCCCCAGGCTCCACGCGTGTCTTTGTCTTCCCCAGATGCCCTGCTCGTATAGGTTGTCGTGATTGTTGGAGGCTTCTGCGGAGAAGTTCATATCAGGCATGGGTACCTCTTGAGAGGGAGAGCCTCCCGTAGCGTGGTCGCCTGACTCACTGGCTTCTTCCACGCGCACATCATCGGGAGCTGCCGAAGGCGGGAACGAAGAACGTTCAGGCTCCTCGACCTTTACACCAGATACCTCTCCAGAGGGAGAGCCTTCTGGCGCATCGGTCTCCATTGGTGCACCGGAATCAGGCTCTTGTTTTGCTTCACCAGCCATCTCTCCAGAGGGAGAGTCCGCTGGTGCAGCTTCAGCAGAGCCGCCAGCTTGTTCCATGGGCTCGTCCACTTCCTCGATGGTAGGTCCAGGGAGATTAGAGATAAACTCCGATGTCATCGAAAGGTCGTGTGTAGAGCTCATCAATCTCACGAGCACACTGGGCACGAAGGTTCTCATACGAAATAAGATCCGCGTGAGCTTTCTTCGCGAAGGCAGAAGTGAAGGAGGGCGTACCCATCGTTCGAAACTGCTTGTCCAGCGCTGCAAGGACCAGTGACGCGTTCCAAGGCTCCTTGAGTGAGGAATCGTACAAGGTGTAGCCCTCAGGAGTGTTGATCTTGTATTTGCGTCGGACCTCGAGGTTCTCCCAATGTTTCTGGACGTAGCTGAAGAAATCTTGCCCGTAGGCCTGGGAAACTGCAGAGACCACCGTGGAGAAGTCCGCACGAACTGCCTTAATCTCAGCCCACACATCCCTTTCCGAACAGAAAGCATTGTGTAGCATGAGTTTGGCAGCGTAGTCCGGGTCATCCTGCTTGGGTTTCTTGCTCCTGGGATCACTATCCTCAGGGATCCTGAAACCAACATCAGAATAAGTCGGAGCGAACTCACGGTGCTCGGCATGCTGGAAATCATTCAAGAGAGTGGAAGGATCATTCCCTTCTCCCTTGTCGAAGGGGGATTTATAGCCCTGAGTGTAGGCCTTCCCCGGTCCAGAGGGACCGCCTCCTGGTGGATGGCCTCCGTCGTTGTTTCCCGAATCGTAAGGCACACCAAGCCTTCACTGTCATCCTCCGGTACTGGCACAAAGGTGCCGCCTCCGGGAGGAGCAGGAGGAGGATTACCACCAGAA